TACCTCAGAATAACACTACAGTAAACCCCAGAAAAACAAACCCAAAAGTACCCCAAATTTTTACCCACAGTACCTCCCGAATAACACTTTACGTACTTAGCATAACACCCACAGTACCTTCCCGCATAAACCCCCAAAAGTACCTCAGAATAACACCCACAGTACCTCAGGTTTAAAACCCGCGTTTCCTAGAATAACACCCCCAGTAACCCCCGAAAACACCCACAGTACCTCAGAATAACAAAACCACAGTACCTCAGAATAACACCCACACACCTCAGAATAACACTCACGTCCCCAAATAACACCCACCCGTACCTCAGAATAAACACCCCCCAGAACCCCCAGGGAAAACACCCCAGTACCTCCCGAATACACTCACGAAATTCGCCCTAAAACCCACAGTACCCCCAGGGAATTAAAAACCCCCAGTACCTAGAATAAAACCCACCGTAAACCCCAGAATAACACCCACGTACCTCAAATAACAACCCCCATACCTCAGAATAAAAACCCGAGTACCTCGAATAACACCCAGTACCCTTTAAAAATAACACCCACAGTACCTCATAAAAACACCCGGGAAATACCCCAGAAAAAACACCCCCAGTACCTCAAAAACACCCCCAGTACCTCAGAATAAAAACCCGCATACCTCAGAATAACCCCCCCAGTACCTCAGAATAACACCCCCATACCTAAGAATAACACCCGCAGTACCTCAGAATAACGCCCACAGTAAACCCCAGAATAAACCCCCAGTACCTAAAATAAAAACCCGCAGACCTCCAAAAAACACCCCCGTACCTCCCAAAAAATACCCCCAAATTCCCCCAGAATAACACCCACAGTACCCAAATAAAAACCCCCGTACCTCGAAAACCCCCAGTACCTCAGAATAACACCCACAGTACCTCAGAATAAAACCCACAGTTTCCCCAGAATAAAAACCCACAGTTTCCTTCCCAAAACACCCCAAAAATACCCCACAATAACCACCCACAATACCTCACAATAAACAGTACCTCCAATAAAAACAGTACCTCACAATAAAAAACCCCCAGACCTACAATAACACCCCCAATAACCCCTCACAAAAACACAAATAAACCCCACAAAAAACACCCACATTTCCTCAGGGAAAAACAACAGCAATTACATAATTTAACATTATATTAATACTGTTAAGGTGTAAGGGAATATTTTATGGATTAAAGCTCATAAAAAGCGGGGGTGATGCCTTTTATGATAATTTATATGCTATAAGCCTATTTTTTTAAAAATTTAAAATTGGGCCCTTTTAGCATATTACCTCGTTTTAAAAAACCAGTTTGTATAATGTAACATTGAAAGTGTTTTGAAATCTTTTTCTGTACAAACATTAGCCAAGGCTTTTTAAACTTTTGTATCCGGGGTTTAAAAGGGTCAAAGTTTTAGAAAATCTTACTAAACCAAATTCATGTGGGAGGGGGAGAGGGAATTTAAAAAAACGGGGATCCCCAAATATCTTTTGGTTTTTAAACCCTTTGGGAATAAATACCGACAAGTTGGTTTTGAAAAACCGTAAGCAAACACCCATAACAAATTTTTTAGAAAACCCTTTCCCGGCCCGGAAAACCTTTATCATTCTAATCAAAGGGTTTCCCGACCCCCCCCCCCCCCCCCCCCCCCCCAATAAAATTGGGTTTTTTAAGTTTTTTTTGCTTACGTGTCCCTTTTTAAACCAAGGTATCATTGTAAACGTTTTCTTAACCAAGCGTTAAACTTGCACTAGTAAAAGAGTTTGGGGCTATAAAGAGAGGTGTCATTGGGCCGAGTTATTGACATGATGTTTTAGTCTAGGACGACGAGCACCGTAGAGTATTACATTTGGGTAAATTTAAAACCCTTGATGTCAACTGGCACACTGCTGTCATTTTGGGACGTGGATAATGTTTACGTAAGGGTTCCAGTGTGGGGGAAATAAAATACAAAATAACCCCCACTTAGGAGAAAAAATCCTTTTGACATTTCATTCGGTCCCAAATTATTTTTTGTATTGTTTAGCATGGTACATGCCTTTTTTAAACTTTGTGGAAGTAAAATCGAGACGTTGACTCTTTTTTTCTCGGGGAGGGGGAAAGAATTAAGGGGAATTTAGCCCCCGGGATGACGTAAAAATTGGGGCTCCCGCGGGTGTGGAAACCCCATAGATCTACAATGCTATCGCCAGCAACAGTAAGAACAAGAGCAGGTTCTTGTGAGTCAACTTGCCAACAAGGACGTGTCGCTACGGGAAAGCTCTCTCGCCTGTTTTACAACTAGGAAATAGACAGTAGTTCTGTTATAATGGACAGTCAGGAGACCTGAGGTTGGGGAGATTACAATCGATGCTGCAGCAAGAACAGAAGTTGATGAAGCAAGAGGAACATCAAGAAAACAGGCAGGGCTTGCGTAAAGCACCCAGTCTGCTCACTCAAGCCGCTGAAGAGAGCGACGAGGGGGAAACGGATGTAAGAATGAGAAGTAATGAAGAAGGAAATGATCGGTGTCATGAAGATTAGATGCAACAAACCAGTCGAAGTTCAAGGCTTTAGTGAGATCTATACTGGAAAGAGTGTGAGTGCGAAGATCTACATATGTCGGTTTACCAATGTTTAAGTCAAGGAGAGAAGTTAGAAAGCCTTAAACGAGAGTTACCAAAGTACCTGGCGGACGAAAAGTCTCTGCCATAAGGTGATGGTTTCTTTACAACTTCATATACAAGTATTTACCAACCAACAGGTGCTGGTATCCACGCAACTTACATGTACAAGTACATTGTATGACTTATCAGCAGGTGCTGGTATCTACGCAACTTACATATACAAGTACATTGTATGACCTGCCAACAAGTGCTGGTACCTACATAACGTACATATACAAGTACATTATATGACCTACCAACAGGTGCTGGTATCTACACAACTTACATATACAAGTACATTGTATGACCTACCAACAGGTGCTGGTATGTACACAACTTACATATACAAGTACATTGTATGACCTACCAACAGGTGATGGTATCTACACAACTTACATATACAAGTACATTGTATGACCTACCAACAGGTGCTGGTATCTATACAACTTACGTATACAAGTATATTGAATGACCTACCAAGAGGTGCTGGTATCTACACAACTTACATATACAAGTACATTGTATGATCTACCAACAGGTGCTGGTATCTACACAACTTACATATACAAGTGCATTGTATGATCTACCAACAGGTGCTGGTATCTACACAACTTACATATACAAGTACATTGTATGACCTACCAACAGATGCTGGTATCTACACAACTTACATATACAAGTACATTGTATGACCTACCAACAGGTGCTGGTATCTACACAACTTACATATACAAGTACATTGTATGACTTATCAACAGGTGCTGTTATCTATACAACTTACGTATACAAGTATATTGAATGACCTACTAAGAGGTGCTGGTATCTACACAACTTACATATACAAGTACATTGTATGACCTACCAACAAGTGCTGGTACCTACATAACTTACATATACAAGTACATTATATGACCTACAAACAGGTGCTGGTATCTACACAACTTACATATACAAGTACATTGTATGACCTACCAACAAGTGCTGGTACCTACATAACTTACATATACAAGTACATTGTATGACCTACAAACAGGTGCTGGTATCTACACAACTTACATATACAAGTACATTGTATGACCTACCAACAAGTGCTGGTACCTACATAACTTACATATACAAGTACATTATATGACCTACAAACAGGTGCTGGTATCTACACAACTTACATATACAAGTACATTGTATGACCTACCAACAAGTGCTGGTACCTACATAACTTACATATACAAGTACATTGTATGACCTACCAACAGGTGCTGGTATCTACACAACTTACATATACAAGTACATTGTATGACCTACCAACAGGTACTGGTATCTACACAACTTACATATACAAGTACATTGTATGGCCTACCAACAGGTGCTGGTATCTACACAACTTACATATACAAGTACATTTGTATGACCTACCAACAGGTGCTGGTATCTGCACATCTCCCCAACACACATCAGCAGTCAATGGAAGCACCATCCACCATATACTCGTCATCCTATTTACTGAAACACTGCAAGGGAGAGATAATTAGTAAATACAGATTATTTATGTACAGGAAATCATTATGTATACGTGTGAGTGTGTGTATTTGTGTATATGTATATGTGTGTAAGTGTTTATGTGAGTAAATGTTTGGGTGCTCAACAATGTGTACTTATCTATATGGGGTTGAAAGAGTAGAGTCTTGGCTTCTGGCTCCGCCTCTTCGCAGGCCTCTTCTGGGCTAACTCAACTGCTCCACTGTCCATGTCGTTCTTCTTCCTGACCCCTCTTATGGTTGGAGAAATTCTTCCTAAAGTCCCGGTGGCTTTTCTGTTTGTTCTAACTTTCATCCGCGCCTTCGTGTTCTCGACCAATCTGTCCCTGTCCACGTAATCAAATCTTCTCAGTATTTTTGTTATCATATGACTCCTAGTCCGTCTTTCTTTTAATGTCATCATGTTTAGCTCCCTTAATCTCTGCTCATAGCACATGCCCTTTGGCTCCGGGATTGGTCTCGTCGCGAACCTCTACACTTTCTAGATTCTTGACATACTTGATCAGGTGTGGGTTCCATACTGGTGCTCCATACTCCAATGTGGGCCAGACATATGTCACATATAATGTTGTGAATAATTCCTTTCATGGGTTCCTGAAACCTAATATTAGGTTTACTAAATGTTAGTTTGCTGTACAAATATTTCATCTGATGGGCCCCTCAGGCGATATGCTCGGAACAAAGTTCACCCCCAGGTCTTTCTACTAGTGCGAAGTTTGCCGTTTTTGCCCCTCGAGCCTGTACTCCATCTACGGTCTTCTTTGCCCATCCATAAACCTCATAATTTTTCATTTACTGACATTAAAGTCTAGTAACCACTTCTCAGGCAAGACTTTCGGTCTGTGTACATCCATTTGTAGCCATTCTTGGTCCTCACCTGTTCGGATTTTTCTCAACTGATTCGAATTATCGTGAATAGAGTATCTCGGACTATTGTTTAAGAACATAAGAACAGAAAGAAAGAAGGAACACTGCAACAGCCTACTGACCCATGCGGAGCAGGTCCATCCCCCCGGATTAGTAAAATGACCCCCCCCCCGGATTAGCCCAATGACCCACCCAGTCTGGTCACCTCCACTCAAGAATGGAGCACGGCACCAGACCCAGCAGCACAAGCTAGTCAGGCCAAACTCACATCCACCCACACCCACTCATGTACATATCTAACCTATTTTTAAAACTACACAACGTTTTAGCCTGAATAACTGTACTCGGAAGTTTGTTCCACTCATCCACAACTCTATTACCAAATCAGTGCTTTCCTATATCCTTCCTGAATCTGAATTTTTCAAACTTGAAACCATTGCTGCGAGTCTTGTCTTGGCTGGAAATTTTCAGCACGCTATTTACATCCCCTTTATTTATTCCTGTTTTCCATTTATACACCTCGATCATATCCCCCCTAATTCTACGCCTTTCGAGAGAGTGAAGATTCAGGGCCCTCAGTCTATCCTCATAGGGAAGATTTCTGATACATGGGATCATCTTTGTCATCCTCCTTTATACGTTTTCCAGAGCATTTATATCCATTCTGTAATACGGTGACCAGAAGTGAGCAGCATAGTCTAAATGAGGCCTAACCAAGGATATATAGAGTTGAAGAACAACCTGAGGACTTCTATTATTTATACTTCTGCATATGAAGCCAAGAATTCTGTTAGCTTTATTGCGAACACTAATGCACTATTGTCTTGGTTTTAGATTACTGCTAACCAGAACTCCTAAATCCTTTTCGCAATCAGTAGTATTAAGATCTACATTATTTAGTTTATATGTGGCATGGTTATTTAACTGTCCAACATTTAGAACTTTGCATTTGTCAATATTAAACTGCATCTGCCACTTCTCCGACCATTGCATCAGTCTATTCAAATCATCCTGGAGTGCTCTAGTGTTTACCTGGAGTTTACCTGGAGAGAGTTCCGGGGGTCAACGCCCCCGCGGCCCGGTCTGTGACCAGGCCTCCTGGTGGATCAGAGCCTGATCAACCAGGCTGTTGCTGCTGGCTGCACGCAAACTAACGTACGAGCTACAGCCCGGCTGATCAGGAACTGACTTTAGGTGCTTGTCCAGTGCCAGCTTGAAGAATGCCAGGGGTCTGTTGGTAATCCCCCTTATGTGTGCTGGGAGGCAGTTGAACAGTCTCGGGCCCCTGACACTTATTGTATGGTCTCTTAACGTGCTAGTGACACCCCTGCTTTTCATTGGGGGGATGGTGCATCGTCTGCCAAGTCTTTTGCTTTCGTAGTGAGTGATTTTCGTGTGCAAGTTCGGTACTAGTCCCTCTAGGATTTTCCAGGTGTATATAATCATGTATCTCTCCCTCCTGCGTTCCAGGGAATACAGGTTTAGGAACCTCAAGCGCTCCCTGTAATTGAGGTGTTTTATCTCCATTATGCGCGCCTTGAAAGTTCTCTGTACATTTTCTAGGTCGGCAATTTCACCTGCCTTGAAAGGTGCTGTTAGTGTGCAGCAATATTCCAGCCTAGATAGAACAAGTGACCTGAAGAGTGTCATCATGGGCTTGGCCTCCCTAGTTTTGAAGGTTCTCATTATCCATCCTGTCATTTTTCTAGCAGATGCGATTGATACAATGTTATGGTCCTTGAAGGTGAAATCCTCCGACATGATCACTCCCAGGTCTTTGACGTTGGTGTTTCGCTCTATTTTGTGGCCAGAATTTGTTTTGTACTCTGATGAAGATTTATTTTCCTCATGTTTACCATATCTGAGTAATTGAAATTTCTCATCGTTGAACTTCATATTGTTTTCTGCAGCCCACTGAAAGATTTGGTTGATGTCCGCCTGGAGCGTTGCAATGTCTGCAATGGAAGACACTGTCATGCAGATTCGGGTGTCATCTGCAAAGGAAGACACGGTGCTGTGGCTGACATCCTTGTCTATGTCAGATATGAGGATGAGGAACAAGATGGGAGCGAGTACTGTGCCTTGTGGAACAGAGCTTTTCACCGTAGCTGCCTCGGACTTTACTCTGTTGACGACTACTCTCTGTGTTCTGTTAGTGAGGACATTATAGATCCATCGACCGACTTTTCCTGTTATTCCTTTAGCACGCATTTTGTGCGCTATTACGCCATGGTCACACTTGTCGAAGGCTTTTGCAAAGTCTGTATATATTACATCTGCATTCTTTTTGTCTTCTAGTGCATTTAGGACCTTGTTGTAGTGATCCAATAGTTGAGACAGACAGGAGCGACCTGTTCTAAACCCATGTTGCCCTGGGTTGTGTAACTGATGGGTTTCTAGATGGGTGGTGATCTTGCTTCTTAGGACCCTTTCAAAGATTTTTATGATATGGGATGTTAGTGCTATTGGTCTGTAGTTCTTTGCTGTTGCTTTACTGCCCCCTTTGTGGAGTGGGGCTATGTCTGTTGTTTTTAGTAACTGTGGGACGACCCCGTGTCCATGCTCCCTCTCCATAGGATGGAAAAGGCTCGTGATAGGGCTTCTTGCAGTTCTTGATGAACACAGAGTTCCATGAGTCTGGCCCTGGGGCAGAGTGCATGGCATGTCATTTATCGCCTGTTCGAAGTCATTTGGCGTCAGGATAACATCGGATAGGCTTGTGTTAATCAAATTTTTTGGCTCTCTCATAAAAAATTCATTTTGATCTTCGACTCTCAGTCTGGTTAGCGGCTTGCTAAAAACTGAGTCATATTGGGACTTGAGTAGCTCACTCATTTCCTTGCTGTCATCTGTGTAGGACCCATCTTGTTTAAGTAGGGGCCCAATACTGGACGTTGTTCTCGATTTTGATTTGACATAGGAGAAGAAATACTTTGGGTTTCTTTCGATTTCATTTATGGCTTTTAGTTCTTCCCGCGATTCCTGACTCCTAAATGATTCTTTTAGCTTAAGTGTCCTCATTAGAATGAACTGGAAGGCCTATTTTTGTGTCAACAGCAAATTTTCTTATGTCGCTATTTATTCCCTCATCTATGTCGTTTATGTAAATTGTGAACAACAACGGGCCTAACACTGACCCCTGAGGAACACCGCTTGTGACGTGCCCCCATTCTAATTTCTCCCCATTGATGCAAACTCTCTACTGTGTATTTGTCAGCCATGCCTCTACCCAGGAAAAAAATTCTCCTATTCCATGTGCCTTAAGTTTCCTCAATAGCCTCTGATGTGGAACTCTATCGAAAGCCTTACTGAAGTCCATATACACAATATCATACTCATTACCATGATCAACTTCCTCAAACACATTAGTGAAAAAAGTTAATAAATTCGTAAGACAGGAACGCCCCTTTGTAAAACCGTGTTGAGATTCATTAATCAAACCGTGCCTATCAAGATGGCTACTAATTGCTTCGGCAATTATTGATTCCATAAATTTTTCCACTATGGAGGAAAGGCTTATCGGTCTATAGTTCGAAGCCAAGGACCTGTCACCTGCCTTGAAAATAGGTATTACAGTTGCCATTTTCCACTTATCAGGCACTGTGCCAGCTTGTAGTGATATGTTGAAAAGATTAGCCAAAGGTATGCTAAGTTCCTCTTTACATTCCTTTAACACCCTTGCAAACAGTTCATCAAGGCCTGGGGATTTGTTAGGTTTTAGTTTCTCTATTTGTCTGAGGACCATGTCACTAGTTACCGCAATCGTACTTAGTTTATTATCCTGTTCTACATAATCTATTATTTCAGGAATATCGCTAGTATTTTCCTGGTGTAAACTGAGAGGAAGTAGGTATTGAGAATTTCACACATATTCTTATCATTGTCAGTGATCTGACCAGAGTTACTCTTAAGTGAGCCAGTCTTGTCCCTAATCTTACTTCTGTATACCTGAAAGAACCCTTTGGGTTAGTCTTTGAATCCCTTGCGACCTTAGCCTCATAATCCCTTTTTACTTTTCTTATTCCTTTCTTTATTTCTCTCTTTAATTGAATATATTGATTTCTTAACTGCCCATCCCCTTTTTTGATACACCTATATATGCCTCTCTTTTGACCAATGAGATGTTTTAATCTATTGTTCATCCATTTGGGATCATTTTTGTTAGATCTAATTTCCCTACTCGGACAAAAGTTGTCTGGCAGCTAGAACTATGCTCTGAAAAAACGTCATATTAGCAACGAAGATCACGTACCTGACCATAGTCAGACATCCCAATTTAACCCACCCAGGTAGTTTTTCAATCGCATGAAGTCGGCCAAGCGAAAATCTGGGACAGAGATTTGATTGCAGTTTTCTGGGTAATTCCATGATATATTGAAACTAAGTGATTTGTGATCACTTTCCCCAAGCTCATCATTAACCTCAAGATTATTAATTAGTGAATCTTTGTTTGCAAGAACCAAGTCAAGCAGATTGTTTCCTCTAGTTGGCTCTGTCACAAACTGTTCTAAAAAGCAATCTTGAACCGTATCAAGAAAGTCATTAGACCCAAGATTTCCTGTCATATTGTTCCAGTCAATTTGTCTAAAGTTAAAATTTCCTATTATTACAACATTTTCATATCAAGATGACTTATGAATTTCGTCCCATAACAGCTTACTGCACTCCCTGTCAAGGTTTGGGACCTATAAATCACACCCAAAATTAATTTGTCGCGTCCCTCGAGAAACTGTAGCCAAACAGATTCTGTGTTCGATGTTTCTAATCTTATATCATGTCTAAGACAGCAATTTAAATTTTCTCTGACATACATCGCCACCACCACCCTTCCTGTTGACCCTATCAGTGTGGAATATTTTATAACCTGTATGTTGCATTCAGAAGGCATTTCTCTAATTTTCAGGTTGAACCAGGTCTCTGTTATACCAATATATCTATATTACTGCACTTGCAAGTAATCTTAGCTCATCTATCTTATTTCTTAGACTCCTACTATTTGTATAGTAAACC